CTTCACCCAGAGCCCTCGTCCAGTGTCTGCCATCCTGACAGGAAGGAGCAGCCCCAGGCTACTTAAGACTTTTCTCCCCCTTCTCCACAAATTATAACCAAGCCCTCTTCTCAAGGGAAACACTTAAAAGGGGGGAAACACAAGAAAGAAAGGTGGGAGAAACATTTACTTTAATTCACATTTCCGCCGTAGGGTGGGTACACCGCCACAGTATTTGCAATTCTGTTCAAAGCAAAGGTGAGCCTGCAGATGTGACCGCAAACAGCACACACGTGGGTCTGTGCTGTTCCACGACACCGTGCCCCTAGTCTGCTCTGGCGAACAGCTATGGTTTCCGCAGGTACTTGAGCTCGAAAACTGCTGAGAGGTTTACCGTGAACTGTTCCAAGCTTCCAGCTGAAGGCAACATGGATGAAGGTCAAAGAACTGTCCTTTCTCATCCACAGGGCACCTGGTGGAGGCGGGAGACACCACGTGCTTCAGGACAGGCAGACACAGGCGCCAAGAACGCCGAAGCGTTCACACTCACGACGCCTGGCTTAGCAAGTTTCAAAACTGTGAGAACTATTCTAGTCTGTCCGGTCCTCCTCATAGCCTAGGAATCAACACAGGAGAAACACTAACATTTTACAATTTTAATACAGAGTATTTCTAACAGAGATGCCACTTAAGAAAAAAAATAAACTCATGCCACCGAAGGAAGGGGTCTTGTCCTTCCTTCATTTCGTTACTTCATCAGCAGCTAAAATCATTTCTGCCGTATTATCAAGTGCTGGATTTTCAAATTAGGTGAAGAGATAACGCAAAAGGCCCAGAGGTGCTCTGGCCAAGCTCCCCAGAGAGCGGGCCCCGCTCCAGCACTGCTCGTGGCAAAGGTGAGGGGGCCAGGCAACGGCGAGCGCAGGAGCCTGGGAACGTCACCCGGCTCACGGAACAGTCTCACAGTGCAGAGATCATGTCAGGAACACACCCAAAACGCAGGCTGCCCCAGCCTAACTTATGGTAAAATAAGCGAACCAAATACATTTCAGCTTAAATATACTTCATTTGTTTATTTCTTCGTAGTGAAAGAATCTGTTTAAACTCTGAAAAGAACGTTTTTTCTAATGACTTCTGAATTTCTTAGAACTCACTCTAAGCTTGAAACTAATCAAAGTAAAGAAAAAAAGCGGTAAATGGAAATGACCAAGGATTTTCTCCAGTAAATTGAGTGTAAATAATAGGCTTTATCTTTAGCTGAGAGAATGGGGAAGACACACCACCAAAAAGATTTTTAAGCTTACAGTAAAAATAGACAAAGTGCAAAACGTTCACATTTTCTTAAACTCTGAATGAACACTAAGAATAATTATTAATTACCAGCGATATTACATATTCACTTTTAAACAAGTTTACCTTAAGGTCCCCCTCTCCCATCATAAGATATTTGCATCCCTAAAAATGAAAGGGAAACGTGGAGGCAGCTCCAGTCAAGCCAGCCTGTTGTACTCAACTGAACAAAAAATGTCACCACTACCATCAACAACAAAACCCAGCTCTATAAAGGCTAGAAACTGGATAAGAAAATAGTTAACAAGACTTTCCTCCCTCCGATCACATCTCTCCCTCCAAGGGTGACTAAATATTTTTAAAAGAGGGGTGAGCCAACTAAACACAATTTAAAACATGCCCCTAACTCAATGAACACACCTCAGGCTTTGGCAGGAGAAGATAGGGGTTTAAGAGCACTTATTCACAAACGACTGAAGAGCCTTAAGAAAAACTATTCTGTGCCTACATTACTTCCACACAGAGACAACCTTCCAAATTAACCACATTGTACCTACTAACATCTTTTAAAAGAATCAATACTTTAAATATCAAGGATATTTAAATCCCAGGTTTAGGAAATGACTGTTAGGACAATGAGTCATCTGTTGGTACAAATCACCCGAAGTACCATTTATATACAAGGAACCAGAAAAAGAGCGAGGAGAGGGGAAGGTAAAAGGCTTGAACTAATCTACCTACTTAAATCTCCTACCAAAGAAAATCACACTAAGAGGATTGCATAGATTTTGTCCCAAAATAAAACCTTTAAAATGCTTACTTTAAAGTAGTAAATTTGTGTATATAATGTTTTAAATTGGCATTATAAATTCATAAAATCCCATTCAAATTTTATCAAGATGAAAACTGTTAAATATTTATGCAATTATTTTTTTGTTTTTGTTTTTTTTTTTTTTTAGAGTAAATAAAAATTTCTAAAATTGGAGTAGAAACAAAGAAACACAAAATCAAAAGCAACTGATGCCTAGGCTCTAAGTAAAAAACCCTCGGAGCCAGGAAATCTTGGCGGGGGACATACTTACTCACCTTTACCGAAACAGGTCCTTTAGACCGAAACAAAACTACAACAGCAACTAAAAACTTAAATAAAAAACAGTGAAACTGAAGTTGAAGTCCTGGGGATTCTTAAGTAACTTCTGAAACTATACACTTAAAAGGCCACTCATCACACTGACTCCATATCCTAGAAGGTGACACAGAGCTAGGCAAGGCTGCGCACATTAAAGTCACTGACAAATTTTCACACTGAGACCAGCCCTAAACAATGTGTGTTCCCTGGCTCTCCTTTTTCACAACAGACTGTTAACAGTGTCATTAGGATGGAGACATAGTCATTTAAGTTTGACAACCAGAAATAAAGCATAATGCAGTAAGAACAAAACCAATTCTAAACAAACAATAGCAGAATATTCAACAGATGGAAACGCATGAAATTAAACACAGAATTAGCATAACTTACATGTTTTAAAAGTACATACTTCATTTATAAATACCTCTAATTGACATTCTATTAGGAATCATAAATATTCAAGTGAACATTTGAATTTTCTCTTTAAGAGTTCAGAATTCTTGAAGTCTTTGAAGATTAGTCTCCTTTTGCTGAATGTCCAAGAGTAAAAGTCCTCACAGTCACTTTATGTCTCTAATTAGACATATAAAAGCCTTTATTACCTACTGTGTTGTAATAAGACTTTAAAATTCTGTAATTCTCTTATACTTGTAGAAAGCCTATAGGAGGAAAAAAAAGCGTATTAGCACAGCTAAAATGATGTGCACATATTTCAAATGACTGATATTGTACATGGGCTATAATGTGAAAGCAAAATCCAAAATAAAAGAATGTATTCAACATTAAACATTGAAGCTTCTATTTTAAAATAATATGCTGTACTTACTTATTAAAGATTAATGAAACACAGTGCTGTGGTTCTTTAGTCTTGGTTTATAAGGGGCCAAGGAAGCCAGTTACTTCTTATCACCAATAGATTAATGATGGCAATAGTGATAAGAGTAACTCATTACAGTAAAGGACCTCAAAACATTTACATTTAGTCGATAAATTCCTTTACACATTTCCCTCCAAATATCACCTCCTTTCTTATTGTTCCCCAAACACACTAATTTGTTTTATACTGTTAGCTCCACAATCTTTAAGGGTAAAGACCTGTTTATATTGCCTACCACTGAATCCCACGGTCATGGTGGAAAGAAAAGAAAGAAAGAAAGAAAGAAAGAAAGAAAGAAGAAAGAAAGAAAGAAAGAAAGAAAGAAAGAAAGAAAGAAAGAAAAGAAAAGAAAAGAAAAGAAAAGAAAAGAAAGAAAGAAAATGCTCTGGCCCCAGGTCCAGCAGTAAAACTCTGGAATGGGAATCACAAAATAACTCTATAAGCCCAATTATCCTTATGTACAATTCAGGGTGGATGCCATAAAAGTCTAATGTTTCCTTTCTACAGCTTAGGATAATATAGTACACAGTATTCAGCTCCTTCCTTTATTCTAAGTACATAATAAATGATAACTGTTCTTATATCAAGAACTTAGGATATGCCAGGCAATGTTGTAAGCACATCACACACATAATCTCATTAATTGTAAAAAACAAACAAACCCTATAAGGTAGATAAAAGTAACCCTGCCTTTCCATTCCAGGAAAGGTGAGGCTCGAACAGATCATGTAATTTTCCCAGGGGCACCCAGCTAGCAGGTGTGTTCCAACCAGTTCATCAGATCCAAGACCACATGGCTGCTCAAAAAAATCTAGGCTGAGGTCTCAATGCATTTTCTTTACATTCTGACAAGTTGTGGGATTAACAGAAAATGAGTTCTTACTCTAACCATCAGAATATTAAGAGATTGAAACAGTTCTTAATTATTAGGAAAAAACAAAATATGATTATTAAAATAAATGTATAAAATCATATGTTATACCTTAACAAAATAGCTGTTTAAAAAATCTACCAAAATATATATGAAGATGAGATAAAGAGACCAAGGCCTAATTAACTAAAGAAAAGGGCTTAGTAAGGAGCAGGTGTGATCAGAATGTAAAACCACACCCCAAGTCTGATTTGGACACAGAGAGGAGCAGACTCTCTAAAGGTTATGGGACAAGTTAACTACAGGTGTGTCCCTGTACCCGGGAGCACACTGCCCAGCGCCACAGCACAGTCTCTGTGGTGGAGATCAGTCCAGACCTCCCCAGAGATATTTCCCATGTTCTCTCTTGTTATTCTAAGATATGCACAGGAGGGCACACAGCATGCCTGCGTCTACCTACTATTACTTTACCCTCTTATGGGGGCACTAAAATACAATGTAACATCCAACAGGTATCATAAAGCCATATCTGTCTTTTTGGAAAATAGACCATTTGATATAAATGATGAAACTATGCAAGATGGATGTTAGTACAAGAAAGACGCTTGGAGGGTATTCAAGACAAAGAAACCATTTTCCAGGATTCATTGGCCAGAACCAAAGACAATGCTCATTGTATGTCTCTGCCCAGTAGCATCCTCTGACAGGGCGATGCTGTGCCGGGCGCCCTAACTGAGGTGTTAAACAGGTATGAAAAAGTATTAACAGGTTGTCAAAAAAATTACCAATTCACTTAAGGAGGACTAATGCATAAACTCCCCAAAGTTAGCAATTTTGTGCGTCAGTACAGCCCAAATCATTTATTTCAATTGTATGATAATTAGGTGGAACATATAATGACATTAACAGATCCCATGAATAATTAAGAAAAACTGTAACATCCATTAAGGGAGAAGGAATGTATAGAATCTATATGAAGGAAACAATAAAAATGTGTGTCTTCATCCCTAAGAGAAGACAGGTTTCTCATGTCTTGGCTACAAAAAAATCTAAGAGCACTAACCACCGAGTGGTGACTGTGAGTCACCCTCACCGCCACCCGCACGGCCACAGCTTCTGGCAGCAGCCTGCGGTTTCAGAGGTGCTGTCACATGTAACCTCGTTTTACCCTCACGTGGGCTGTGAGAAAGGTTTTGTCCGCTTCACTGTGCAGAGCAGGCAGGCAGCTGGAGAGCAGGCCCGGGCTCCAGGACGCCAGCAGCCCTGGCTGAGGCCAGCGCCCTCTAGAGAACAACACAGGTAACACCAGGCTCTCAGGTGGAACTACTGCGTGAAGGTGGCTGTTAATATTCTTTCTCAAGGTAATTTTATTTGGATTTAAAACGTTTAAATTGTTTAAAATCTTTTTCATTTAAATTGCATTTTAAATAATTTAAATTTAATTCAGTTTCTCCTGTTTTATCTTACTAGAGGCCTCGTTAAGTGGGTGGACTGAATTTTTCATAAAATGCCAATTACGGGTAGACATTCTGTGTCTATCCTGTTTGAAACCTCTGCTTACCCAGTCATCTTTAAATATAGGGAGGCAACAAGGTGAAATCTTTGCTATTAAGGTGGGGAAGGGGCACGTAACTTATTTTTAATTTAACTCCCTCTTTTTAACTTAAAAACGTATGTTAAGAAAATATAAGAAATAATCTCTATCACTTGGTTCCCTATTTTAAAAAAATTCTTCTTTGACTTGACTTTTCTGCACTTTTCCCGGGCCACTTAGGTTACTCTCTCTGAGAATATTGTCCTATATTCCTTAGCTGGCTGGCACTGCATGTATCTCTGCAGGCAAACTCAAGTTAATTTTGGAACCATCTGTGATATAAACAAAAAGCAAAATACATGTAATCTGCATACAGAAACAGGAGGGTAAGAACAGCAAGAGAAAAATGCTCCTCAGGTTAAGAAATAAGAGCTGCCATGGCCCGTGTGGCTCAGTTGGCTGGAGCGTCGTCCCATATGCAGGGTTGGGGGTTTGATCCCAGTGAGGGCGTGTACGGAAGGCAACCAATAGATGTTTCTCTCCCCCACCCCCACCCACCTTCCCTTCTCTCTAAAAATCAACAAGAATATCCTCAGGTGAGGATTTAAAAAAAAGAAAGAGCAGCTGAAAGGTTTCCTCTCTCTCACTGCCTCTCAGCCAAGTCCTTGCAGCTGCCACTGTTCTTGAACAGTGATGGTCAGCTAACGGGGATACTGTTAGGGGAGGACACCTTCCCCACACAACTGAGAAGGCCAGCTGGGAGCCACTGGCAAACACAGAAATGCTGTGAGCTTGTGAGTACAGGCATGATAGCACATGATAAAAATTTCTTTGTCCGCAAAACAAACTACCTTGGCAGAGATGACCTTGCAGGTGGCTGGCTGAAAGCAGCAGAGAAACCGGTCAGTTCTTACCTCCCAAAAGCATTTACAAGAGCAACGATTTCCTGTCGAGTGAGCTGGAAGCCTTTTGAGGGGCTATTCTCTGGAAGCTTCTGGATTTCCTTTTCAGAGAACAGTATCTTCAGCGCAGTTCCTAAACCCTGAGTCTAAAGAAAAGAGAGAAACTTACAATCAATTCATATCATAATCACTACAAAGGCCTAAAGAAAAACTCAGTTACTGGGATGAGTAGGAAATGCCCATGAATGGAACTTTGTCATTTTATTCAACTACACAAAATACAGTTTCTACTTCCTCACAGATGTGCACATGATACACTGATCTCAGCTGAAGAGTTAACACATATCCTACTGTTCTCAGCCACTAAAATGCCTCCTAACCTAGGAAATATCACAGTAGGGTTACAATGCTCAACATGTCATGGTAAAAGCACACTTCACAGCTCCTGGCAACTCAAAGCTTAAAAATTATTAGTCACACCTACACTTAATACTTACTTACAGCACTAGAGAAAAAGAAAAAAAATCTGATTTCTGTGTAGCCTCCATTAAAATAATTCTGTCCCCTGATTTTCTGACTTGTCATCTTGGTGAAAAAGCAACGAAACTACCCATCCTTTTTATAGACTACGCAGGGGAGTGAGCTGCTTGGCAGAACTTTCCAATTCTGTGACCAGGTGGCCTTCTTTTCATCACTGAAACAAATTCAGTGACCAAAATTTCATAATTAAGTCTTTTGATATTAGATAAACTAATAAAGTTTACGTTTTAGATAGGTATATAAAATAGTAATATGCCCTATTTATAACCACCGACTTCAGAAAGGAATCTGAGATTGTGTTAGTAGAAATAGCCAGTCATCAACACAGAGTAACAGGAAAACACCCTTGCACACACACATATACCCCACAGCTTAATGCTGTCTTCAGTAATACTACAGAAAACCACCCTCTGGGTCTCTAATGCAATGAACAGCGAGGGCATCTTAATAAAAAGTGTCAGCTCCTCAGTGGGATAATTTAAGGTTAGTAATAGTTTCAAAACAGAAGGCCACACACAAACCTGCAGTTTTCCCCACAGTCGGCATTTGTCACATCCAACGCAGTCCATTATACGAGAGATATTCTTGAAATGTAACCGGAATTCCTCCTAACATGCAGGAAATATGTGTATTCTAATTAGACATTTAAAATGAAAGTACGTTTGTCTGAATTATAGAAAATAAAAGTTTTGAAGTTTATTAGTGAATGACTTGTTTTTCAACAATGAAGAAGGAAATTATTTGAACTATGTAGCATAAAACATTAATGAAAATTTATAAAATTCATTCCATGCATTCGTTCATCAAACTTCACTGAGGGGCAACTCTATGCGAAGCACAGATATGCACTATGGGGACAAGAAAGTAAATAACACACGGTTTTTACTTTCAAGGAGCTTCGTGGGCACCTCCATTCAGTGTGTGCGTGCGGCAGAGGTAAACAGTCACGTCATGCCTCAGTTATCTCTGGCGTGCTGCTTTGTGCGAGTGGAAATCAGGAAGCTGGCCTAGAACAATGCTAATCCCCACCTCTCTCCGTGGCACTGCATTGCTTGTGCCAGGTGCTCCCCCGTACAGTGAGCGCAGGCTGAACAGGGGTCTCACGGCCCCACACCCACTAGGGCAGCTGCTCAGGAAAGGCCCTGGGTTCTGGGGTAACAGATTCCCACACAGGGAGACTCCCCCTGTGTGCTCCTGGGCATGTTTCCACAGCTAAGGTCAGCCTCATGTTAACGAGGATCACACTAGCTAAGAGAAAGTTTCCTTATCTTTTCAATGGCAAACTTGGAAATAAAAATCATTTTCCTGTTCTGAGGTGAACGTCTTATTGCATGACACTGGAAACCTGTAGTCTGAAAACTCTGGCCACCTCAAGGTCTGAGGAACCAGTACCTTGGCTGAAAGAAAGACAATATAAATAGGACACAAAAACTCCTTTGCTCTCCATTCTCATGCAGTTCATGTTCTTTGGAGCAGATGAGGAAATGGATCTGAGTTCTACTTTACATGCCTTTGAAAAATAGTTAACAAAAGTTCCAGCCTCGCCTTCCTCAGCTAAGGTCAGTCTCTATTATAACACGAGGGTGTTCAGAAGATCAAAAGTATAATATTTATATAAACACTTAGGAAATAGGAAGCATTACAAAAATGAATTAACATTATATTAAATACTACAACAGCAATACACCTCTAAAACAACCATAAGACAAAACAAACTTCCAAAACTAAAATAGAGCTGTGGCTAAAACATTTCATTTCAGAAATATCGAGAAACTCTCACAATGGAGAACCACTCAATGCTAATGTATTAGCTCATGTAGCATATCCACATCTAAAATTTCTTGGGGCCAAATGTGTTTCAGAATTCAGCATTTTTCAGACTTTTGAAACACAGTACTATTTATTATGAAACACTCCACCAGAGTGTGTGGCAACACCCTGTAATCAAATACATTAATGTGTCTGTAAGAATATTTATACAAACACACAAGAATATTTACACAAAGCAGAAATTTTTTAAAGAAGACTATGAATATTCTTACATCAGTTCAGGACAAGTTTTGCTAACTAATTTGCACCAAACACAAGAAACAGGTTTCGGTTTTTGGAGCTCTCTGGATGTTGGTGCTGCATGTACAAGACTGTGGAGCTGAACTAGAAGACGATCTGCCAGCCTATTTCAAACAGTTTCACAACATTTCAAGGGCACAGTGTTTTCCTAACTGTATTCACTGTAGGCAAAGGAAACAAAAGACCTCCTCACATAAAGTGTCATAATGTCCCTAAAATAGTCTCCTTCTGATATCACAGGTTCACAGGTAACTTTTGCCTTTTATGTTAGTCCATAAGGACAAACATGTTTCATAAACGGTAACATTCCATAAAATACACTTTAGAAAAATACACTATTTATTGTCTTCAAAGTGGATTACAGCTCATGATTTTTGAAGGATGAATCAAAACAACAACACACACTGTGATTTTAAATTAAAGTAAGAAAACTCCTTAAAGACGTTTACAAAGGTGCCATACTCAGTCCCAGTGATGGCTGAGGACTTGCTAAGCAGCTGGTAAAAGGAACAGAGAAGGAAGTGTGGAGAAGGGGCTTATTGTATCATTTATAGTAAATCCAACCTGACCAACTCCACCAAGAACTGGGAGAGAAGAGCTCAGGAGAACAGGATTAAAGCACCACCAGCAAACTGCTCCCCAGCCTGTCCCTCCCTGATCAAGAACTTCTTACCTTTAACGATTTGGCCCCCTTTTTGTCACCTGCGAACATGGATTTCTCATCAAAGTGCATGGGAAAGGACCTGATGAAAGGACAATGTTGTAAGTTGCAGATAAAAAATTTAAGTTATATTTAACATATAGCCTGTTCTCAAGTGTGAAAGTGCAGTGATGTTATAGATGATTTTCACTTAATGTACTTGAGCTCTGGTAGAACTTTCTATCCCTATAGGTATTTAAAATTCATTATTTAGTCATACGGAAGGTTAAGTAAAAGGAAGGTGGCCAACAGTTCACATAAAAACTATTCAAAAAAGACTAAAGCAAGATAAAGATACCTTTGTAATGTATGAGCTCGTAATGTTCTAAAAAAATTATGATAAAAATAATCTAAAAATTAACTAAAAACCATTTATGTGAAAAATGTACATCACTCTCTTAATATTTTAAAGTATCTTTTAAAATTTAAGGCATAATTTACTTTCAGCATTTCTCACTCTGACATTGCTCCATGCTTATTTTAACAGCAGTAAACTCAAGTTTCAGGCCCAGCATTTTTATGGGTTATATTAAGGCAAGGCTAGCAATGTCCCTTAGGGGTCTACTGATGTGCTAACAGGACATCATCCGACCTTAGACAGCAACTGGAAGAAAAAGCATTAAAGTACCATTACACTTTGATGCTACATAAAATGTAAAGTTATATTCAACATATAGCCTGTTCTCAAGTGTGAAAGTGCAGTGATGTTATAGATGATTTTCGCTTAATGTTTTTGGAAGAAATTTCAAATACTGCTGTTCTATTGACCATTCTCTTCTCAGCTCTAACTCTCCCTTTTTCTAATTAACTTTCAGAAGCCAGTTTCTATCGTATTTCAAGCGCTTCCTCATGAAAACCCAGAGCAGAGGGTTTCAGAGCCCTGATCCGACTCTTACTTTGTGTCCTGGAAGATATCCAGCAGGAGGGTTTTTGTGTCTGCATCGTCTTCCACGTTTCCAGTGTAAAGATCCACAATTGAGCGCTCGAAGTATGGGGCCACCTTCAGTAAAGCGCGCAGCTCAATTAAGTACAAGAAGTACAGGTTCTTTAGCCTCCTTGGGCCTTCTCCCTTGGTTTCCACAGGGTCGAAGCGGCGTTTAAATTCTTTTATATTAGGTCCCCAGCTAGGTTTGCCCCAGGTTTCTAAAGAGAAAGAGCAATACAGGGTATAGTTTTAGTAGACAGGATTTTTTAAAATACAGAATCAGTATTACCCCCCAACAACTTCCACACTAATAGAGGGCACATTTCTACATAAAAACCCGATTACCTTCCAAAAGATAATTTGAGCACAGATGTAAGTTGATACTGGCATGAAGTCCCGATATAAGCTTGTAGAAGACTCTTTTCTCCAGACATAACCCTATCCAGAAAAATATTCAAAAAGATGTCACATCATTTAGATAACAGAAATACTGAGGGTTTATTTTTAAAGTTAAGATTCAAGGACATTAAGACTAAGTCAAGGAATAGTATGAAATAATTGAATCAAGATCCTCTCAAACAGAGTGGCCTGAATAATAACTGAATGCAGAACAATGCAGAACAAGACAGAAAGTGCTGGGCTGCTGGAGGCTCAAGCCCTGTGGATGCACTTGGCATATTCCCACGTTCCCCAGGAGGCAACAGCACAGATCTTCACGGTTTAGGCTAAACCAAAGCAAATGTGATGACAAAGTCCTGCTTTGGCTTAACAACAGCTGTTTCTCCTTTCTCCCTTCCCTCCAGAGGCTCTTTCTTTGAACCTACCTGGTAAGGGAGGAAGAAGAGACTAAGTCTGGTCTCTCCCCTCCCCCAGGCCCTTTAGCATGTCTGGTTAACCCCCGCCCGGGAATTCTCTAATATGCTAACTGTATGTTCCACTTGTCAGGAGCCAAAGCTGGGAAAACGGTTTTCTGTGCGAGTAGAACCACATCAGGTGGAACTCAGGGATATGATGGGAAAATTATTTCCTGTGGCCTCAAAGCCACACAGGCTTCTGCTCAAAAGGAAGGTCAAGAAAATCCCACCATCCTATCCCACCCCTGCTCCATTTTAAAAGATTTACCTTATTATAAGAGTAATATGCATTCTGAATGTACTTAATGCCACCATATGTAAATTTAAAAATGGTTAAAATGGTAAACGTTATATTTAATATTTTTTAAGAAAACATTCTGTATAGAACTTAAAAATAAATAAAAATGAAAAAAGTAAACTGTAAGAACCCACTGGATGTACAACAACTGACTTTTTCCTCCCTGACCCCCATCAGGTTTTGTTTGTTTTTGTCATTTTTGCTCCCCCCCCCCCCCC